TGCTGACCTGGGGGAGCTGGGGGCCAACACTGCAATAGCAGTGGGCGTTGCAAGCCAGCACTGAAGGGCACTGGCAGAACTGGACAACGTGAGGCAGGATTGGAGCATCTGGAGGTGCTGCAGGTCAGGGCATTACTTCAAGCCCCTCTTTGCCGTGTTTTCTTTCAGGAGTGGAGTTAACTGGGACAGGCTCCAGTGAGATCACAGGCACCATGAGCAAAATCAGCTTTGAGCAGGTGGACTCTCATTACATACCAGGGATCCCCTTCTCCGGGCAGGTAGGGAACCTCTGAGAGCCCAGGAAATTACCTGACAGGAGTGTGCTTGTCTGGAGAGAATGAGAACTTGCAAATGGAAAAGGGAAAACATGGGAGGATCACAAACCACAGGAACAGGAGCCATCTCCCTCTGCCTCTACACATGCTGTGGTATCCTTGCCATTAGTGGGAATTGCAGCACCTTCCTCTGACCCCCTGGTGCTGTCAGAGACAGGATACAGAGGAGAAGTCCCACTGGTGTGGCCAGCACAGTCCTTCCCATGTTCCCAATCACAGACTCTGTGAGGACGTGCCGCCTCCTCAGGTGGTTCAGACTCACCCAGCACATTCACACACACCTGGCCCTTGGTCAGCTCTGTAGGAAACACCCTCTGGAGCTGCCTCAGGGGAATAACGTGGGCAAAGGGTCGTTAGGAATGTGGGGACTGCTTTCCCTGCCTCGTATAAGCAACAGAGATTGGATTTGTTCCTTTAGGTGAAGCTGGTGGACGGGACCGATGCTCCAATCGCCAACGAAACCATCCGGATTTCCATAGGGAGAAACAACTACGAAGCCAACTACACAACGAATGAAGAGGGCCGAGTCTCGTTTTCTATAGACACTGTCAACTTCACAGAAAACTTGATTCAAATCACTGTGAGTGGCTGAATCCAGGGAGCTAGGGGATGGGAGGTGTCACTGACTAAGCTCCAGGGGAGATGTCCGTAGGTTTATTGACCTCTCTGCCCATCGGGAGATAAAACAAAGAGTTTGTTGGCTGGGAATTTCAGTCTCCTCCTCTCTGTCTTGCTCTCTCTCTGTCTGTCCCTTGCTCTCTGTGTCTTGCACACACTCTGTCGCTCTCCCTCTGGTTCTCCATCTCTCTCTCTCCATAGGAGCATGGAAAATGCAGATCAGTGCACGGTGCACTGAAAAATCTGCCAAGAACATGTTTTTAAAATTACCCACTTTTTCCTTCTGAAATGCTAGTAGACTTGTTACTCACTTTTTGATCTGATGTAAAAACGTTCTTCTTTATCAGGCAAACCATAAATCTGAACTGAACTGTTACGACACAGACTGGATCACCCCTGTGTATGGTAACACCATTCACATGGCAACACGCTTTTACTCCCCGAGTAAGAGCTTTCTCAAAATCGAGCCCCTGTCTCAGACTTTAAGCTGCGGTTCCAATGAGATGGTCCGGGTGCACTACATCCTGAAGCCAGAGGCCGTGGGGGAGCAGAAGGAAATCGTCTTTTACTATGTGGTAAGCCCGGACCTAGTGACCTCTACCTCCGTACACATGACACAGCACTGGCGGCCAGACACCCATATATGTCCCAGGTCCCCAAACTGCCCCGAGGCCAGGTTCTCTTGACCTTGACATTTACATGTAAAAGCCAGTGAAGGAAATGCAGAACTGGCCAGCCAGTGGATGGTTTCTGCAGGGAGAGATTTCAGAGTAGCAGACGTGTTAGTCTGTATCCACAAAAAGAACAGGAGTACTTGTGGCACCTTAGAGTCTAACAAAT